CGCGCCGCGGCGAAGCCCGCGCCGCCGCCGCCGCGCGCGAAGACGCCGCCGCCGCCGCCGAAGCCCAAGCCCGCGCCGCCGCCGCCGGTGCCCGCGGCGCTCCGCGTCGCCGAGTACTACTGGCAGCACAAGGACGGCGACCAGCGCGGGCCGAGCACCTGGGCCGAGTACAAGGCCGCCTACGACGCCAAGGAGACGCACAAGGAGTGCCTCGTCTACGCCGCCGGCGTCGCCGACGAGTGGAAGACGGTCCGCGACGTGCCCGACCTCGTCGCGCACCTCGCGCCCCCGAAGCGCCCGCCGATGCCGCCGATGCCGGCCATGCCCCGCGCGCCGCCGCCGCCGCCGGCCGCGGCTTCCGCGCCCCCGCCGGTCGCGGCTTCCGCGCCCCCGCCGGCCGCGGCGCCCGCGGCCGCGGACCCGGCGCGGAAGGAGGACGCGCTCGACGACGCCGCGTTCGTCGCCGCGCTGGGCTGCGACCGCGCGGCCTTCGCGAAGATGCCCAAGTGGAAGCAGGACAACAAGAAGAAGAAGGCCGGCCTCTTCTAGGGAGCCGCCTTCAACCTAAAAGCGTGTCTAGAGTACGCGGCGCTCACGCCCCCCGGAGCCGCGCGACCTCGGCCTCGAGGTCCGCGACGCGGGCCTCGAGCGCGCCGCGCGCGGCGGCGCCCGCGGCGTGGACCGCGGCGGCGACGGCGACGTCGCGGTCGACGGCGCGGGCGAGGGCGTCCGCGGCGACCTCGAGCTCGTGGCGGAGCATGGGGCACTTGCGGAGGAGCGCGTGCGCGCGGTCCGCGGCCGCCCAGAGCACGAGCGCGTCCTCGGCCGCGGCGGCCGTGAAGGGCTCGCGCGCGTTCGCGTAGACCAGCGACGAGAAGCCGCCGAGGTCGTGGGCGCGGAGCGTCGCGAGCGTCGCCGGCGCGGAAAAGGCGACGGCGCCGCCGCCGCCGACGGCGACGGACGCGGAGCGCAGGTCGATAAATCCCCGGAGCACGACGAACAGGCCGCCCGACGGCGCGCCCTGCGCGCAGAGCTCGCCGCCCCGCGGCACCTCGCGGAAATCGAACAGCTCCGCCAACGCGCCGAGCCACGCGCCGCCCAGCGCCGCGAACTGCGGCACGGGCGCTAAGAGGTGCGCCATCTGGTTCGCGATGGCCGCGTCAAAGTCCGCGCGGAGCCGCTCGCCGCCGAGCTCCAGGAACGCGCCAAAGTCGGCTGCGTCGCAGCGCAGGACCGCGAGGCCGCCGTCTTCCGCGGCCGACACCGTCGCCGCGCGCGGCCGGTGCTTGAGCAGGCCGATCTCGCCGAACCAGTCGCCCGGCAGGCAGCCCCGCACGGGGCCCGCCGCGCGCGTCGCGACGTCCGCGGCGCCGCACAAGATCACGTAGAAGCCGTCGGCTTTGTCGCCCTCGGCGACGACGACGTCGCCGGGGCCGTAGAAGCGGAGCTCCAGGAGGTCGACCATCGCCGCGACTTCGCCGTCGCCGAACCCTCGAAAGAGGTCCGCGGCCCGGAGCGTGTCCGCCAGCAGCCCCCGCGTCCGCCGCGCCCTGGCGCCCGCCGCGGCCTCCAAGACGCGGGCCACGGCGGCCCAGGGCACCTCGAGGAGCGTCACGCCCGGCCCCGCGGCGACGACGGACGCCGCGTAGCACCCCCGGAGCGCGCCGGCCTCGACGTCGCCGCACCACGCGCCCTCCTCGAGCTGCTCGACGAGCCGCGCCTCGCCGTGGACGACCCGGCGCCGCTCGAGCGCGCCCGCGAGGACGCAGTAGACCGCGGGCGGCGCTCCGAAGCGCCGGCCCGGCGCGCCGGCCGAGGCCTCGCGCGCGACGACGTCGCCGTCGGCGTAGGACGCGACGGCGCATGTGGAAAAGAGGCGCTCGAGGTCCCCGTCGAAGCCCAGCTCCTGGAGGTGGCGGAGGAAGGGGACGCTGTCGAGGCCGCGCTCCGCGAAGAACGAGAGCGCGGCCACGGGGCCTCGTCCGCAGTACGCGTCCGCGACGGCGCCGTCGCCCCCGCGCCGGAAGGCGGCGAGCGCGCCGGAGCTCGCCGCGGCGACGTCGTCGCGGTCGTCGCCGCGGCCCGCGCCGCCGAGCCAGCCGAGCACGCTCACCGTCGACCGCTTCCGGTCCCCGCCGCGGTCGTCGTCGCCGTCGACGAGCACGCTCGGCGACCGCACGGGCGCCGCGGCCGACGACCGGTCCGGCCGGGGCTCCTCGCCGGCGACGGCCGCGGCCGCGACGCGGACCGCCGCGGCCCACGCGGCCGCGGCCGCCGCGGAGTCCGCGCGGAACGCGTAGAGCCGCTCGGCCGTCGCGAGCGCCAGCTCGCCCTCCGCGTCGCCGACGTCGACGGACAGCACGCGCCGCAGGTCCACGAGGCCCGACGCGGCGCCGGCGCCGCGCTTTGAGTCGTCGTCATCCCTGTAATAGGCCAGCTCGCCCGCGGCGCCGTCGAGGACGACGTAGCGCCGCTGGAACTGGTCGCCGCCGCGGAGCGCGTTCGCCACGAGGCGCTTGACCCGGTTGCGCTTGTCGCGGTCCGCCGGGCGCGGCATCTTCTTCAGGAGCCAGCCCTCCATGCTGCCGGGCCTCGAGGCCATGCTGCCCAGAGATGCTGCCCAGCTAGGCCGCGCTTCGGTGGAGCCTTCAAGCTGCCTTCAAGCTGCCTTCAACGCTTACGAGGTCGTGCGATGGCGGCTCCGCCGCCGGGTCCGGGCGTCTTCGTGACCGTGGGCACGACGGAGTTCGACGCGCTCGTCGCCGCGGCGACGGCGCCGCCCTTCCTGGCGCGGCTCGAGGCCCTGGGCTTCGCCTGGCTGCGGCTCCAGGTCGGCCGCGGCGCCGCGCCGCACCTGCCCGCGGCGTCGACCGTGGGCGGCGCGCACGTCTCCTGGTTCCGCTTCACGCGCGACCTGCCCGGCGAGATGGCCCGCGCGCACATCGTCGTCTCCCACGCGGGCGCGGGCAGCATCCTCGAGGCGCTCGAGCTCAAGCGGCGGCTCGTCGTCGTGCCCAACGCCGCGCTCATGGACGACCACCAGGCCGAGCTCGCCGGCGCCCTCGCGGCGGACCGCCACCTCGTCGCCGCGCCGGGGCCCGCCGGCCTATGCGACGCGCTCGCGGCCGCGGCATCGGGCGACGGCTTCGCGCCGCTCGGCGAGGTCGACGCCGCGGCGTTTCCGCGCTTGGTCGACGACGAGATGCGCCGGCCGGGCCGCTGCGTCATCCTGTAAGGCGCGCCGAGCGAGTTCTAGGAGCGTACGCGGCGCGCGTTCCCGCGGCCGCGACCGGCCGCTCGGCCGCCCGCGCTCACGCGGCGACGACGTCGCCCGGGGCCGCGGCGGGCGCGGGGAGCGCCCGGGCTTCCCCCGCGAGCTGCTTCGGCGGCGGCGGCGGCCGGAGCTGCGTGCGCCCGCAGGCCCGCCGCTCGCAGATCCACGTGAGCATCTCGACCATGGTCTCGCCGTCGACGGCGACGCCCGCGGCCGCGACCTGCGCGGCGAAGTGCTCCACGGAGTCCGTCGGGTCCATCCACGGCTCGACCTTGAGCGTGCCGAGGCCGTCGACGGTGAGCTCGAGGGGCGGCGCGAGCCCCCGCGCGCAGACGCGCCGCGCGCAGAACCAGGCCATCATCGCGTTGAGGTCGTCGACGGCGAGCGCGCGCCCCGCGCGCGCCGCGGCCGCCGCGAAGCCCTCGACGCGGGGCGCGACGTCCTCGAAGGGCGCGACGGTGACGTTGCCGACGCCCTCGAGGCCCAGCGTCAGCGGCGGGCGGAGCGGCCGGAAGCAGGCGCGCCGCGCGCAGAAATAGGCGAGCATGTCGGCCATGGTCTCGACGTTCATCGCCGCGCCGGCGGCGGCCGCGGCGATGGAGAAGCGCTCGACGCGCTCCGCGGGCTCCTGCCAGGGGCGCACGGTCACGTTGCCCACGCCCGTCAGCGCCAGGGTCAGCGGCGGCGCCACGGGCCGGTGGCAGGACCGCCGGTCGCAGAACCAGGCCATCATGGACCGCATCGTCTCTCCGGTCACGTCCGCGCCCGCGGCCGTCGCCGCCGCGGCGAACTTCTCGACCATGTAGGCCGGCTCCTGCGTGGCGAGCACCGTGACGTTGCCCAGCGGCTTCACCTCGAGCGTCCAGGGCCGCGCGAGCGGCCGGAAGCAGGACCGGCGGTCGCCTGTGTGCAAATCAACCAGTGAGCTGGGACGTCGGGGCCAAACTTGAGAATTCTCTAGCTCGGTCAAATCGAAGTCGATTCGGCTGATTTTTGGACGAATCGATTGCTCTTAGCGAGTTCTCGAAGCACGGCGGAAGTGCTCGTGTCAAAACATTCGCATACGCGCACATTGAAGTCGGGTTGAAGATTTGATTTGCACACCGGCGGTCGCAGAACCACGCGTACATCGCGTCGAGCGTTTGTACGTTGATCGGCGCGCCGGCGTCCGTGGCGCGGCCCCCGAAGTACTCGACGCGGTCCGCGGGGTCCTCGAAGGGCAGCACCGTGAGGTTGCCCAAACGTTCCACCGCGAGGCTGAGCGGTCCCGCGATCGTTTTCCGGAAGCACGACCGTTGAGCGCAGAGCCGGTCGAGCATGGCGACCATGGTCTCGACGTTGAAGGCGACGCCCGCCGCCGTCGCCCTGGCGGCGAAGCGCTCGACGGCGTGGGCCGGGTCCTCGAAGGGCGCGACGGTCAGCGACCCGACGCCCGTGACGTTGAGGCTCACGGGCCCCGCGACGGCCCGCCGGCACGCGCGCCGCGCGCAGAACCAGCCGAGCATGGAGTCCATCGTCGCCGCGTTCACGGCGTGGCCCGCCTCCGACGCTTGGGCCGCGAAGCGCTCCACGGCGAGCGCCGGCTCCTCGCCGGACAGCACGGTCAGGTTGCCCACGCCCTCGAGCTGGAGCGTGAGACCGGCCTGCGGCGGCGCCGGCGCGACGCCGCCGAGGGGCACGCCGTTCACCGTGATGGCCCCGGCGCCGCCGGCGAGGGCGAGGAGGCGCACCAGGCGCAGCGCCATTGGCGTCGCGGAAGCCATTTTGATCATCGGATCTCTCGCGATCGAGCACTGGGCAGCCCCCCCCAAAAGGTTCAAGTTGGGCAAAAATAAAAAAGCCTTCTGCCAGTGGCCGGGCCGCTGCGCGCGCCAAAAACAAACATTAGGTAGGGCCGTCCGCCTAGAGAGAGAGCGCGGCCGCGACGGCGCCGGCGACGAAGGACAGGCCCGCGCGGAGCGTCGCGCCGTCGAGCGTCGCGTCGTCGGACGGCACCGTCGGCGAGTTCGTCGGCGGCGCGACGTAGTCGTCCGAGGGCGGGATCGAAACGTAGGAGAGGTTGGCGATGGCGTAGGCGTCGTCGAATTCGGAGATGGCCGTGGCCGAGTCGAGGCTCAGGAGCTCGCGGCGCGACGGCGGCGGCGGCGGCGGGCGCATCGCCGCCATCTTGCTGTGGAGGCTCGCGGACGCGGACGCGGACGGAGGCGGGTAGTCGCCTTGGCCCGTGCCGTTGTAGGTCCGGAGCGACAGGGAGATCGTGAGCGCGTCGTCGTCGCAGCCGTAGGCCGCCGCGTCGCCCGCGACTCGCGTGCCCGGGTATTCCTCCTCCATGACCAGCCTGTGTGGAAATCAAATCTTCAACCCGACTTCAATGTGCGCGTAATCGAACACGCTAGGCTTTCTGCTGTGCTTCGAGAACGCGACGAGAGCAATCGATTCGTCCAAAAATCAGCCAAATCGACTCGGAATTGGCCGAGATAGAGAGTTCTGAAGTTTGGTGGGGACCCCCCAAACCAGTAGGGCGACGCCTCGCAGGTCGGCTGGTTCCACTCGCCCCGGTTGTTCTGCGTGACCCAGTTCTGCATGCCGTTGACCGTCCCCCCGCCCGCGCGTCGACCGCGGCGTCGCACCCCGCGGGGCGCTCGGCCCTAATTCATAGCCGCCCCTTCGATGTCCGGATCCGCGCCGAGTCGGACGCAAGCAAGGCACGTTAGACAAAAGAGGGCGGGGCTGTCCAGGAGGGGGCGGGCTCACACCTCGGCGTCGGCGAGGGGCTCGTAGGCGGCCTGCTTCTTCGACGCGGCCTTGGCGGCGACGAGCCCCACGGCGAGCACACCGAGGAGGCCCGCGACGGGGACGGACGCGGCGGACGCGCCCGCGGCGACCGCGGCGAGCTGGGCCCAGGCGCCGCTGGCGTCGACGTCGACGGACGTGAAGGACGCGATGGCGCGGGGCGCCGCGGCCTTGACGAGCTGGTAGTCCGCGGCTTCCACGACGCCGTCGGCGTCGAAGGCCGCGTGCGTGATGAAGCCCGACGACTCGTCGGTGATGAGGAGCGTGTCTTCGATGACGGCGAGGGCGTCGGGGTCGACGAAGCCCGACGCGAACAACGTCTTGGCGCCGCCGAACTGGCCCGCGGCTGGCGGTAGACGGCGCCCGCGGCCACGGAAT